GGCTAAGAGATCCAGTGGATTTCACATTCTCTGATGGGCGCATCAGACAGCCCTGCTTAATACAGGGAGTGATTCATTCATAACCCAGCCTCAGAGAGAGTTTCAAGTGGTGACTTTGTTTCATCTACTCAACAAACATTTACCAAGTGCCCATGACATGCTCTCTGCCATCCAGCGTGCTGGACACAGATACTAATTCACCAAGGAGCAGAGGGAGAGGCCAAGGCCCAAGGCCCAAAGGGCGGGGAGGCTCAGGGCAGAGGATGCAATGTGCTCTGAGCTTCCAGAGGGAAAGATAGGCACTTGCTAGAATGCACAGCTCTTGCTTTCCTAACGTCAGTGACTGCATTTGGCTGCATGCCACAAGAAGCTCAACTGTGGTATTTTAACCTTGTTTTTCTCACCTCTCCAGGGACAATATGTCCAGAGTTGTAGTTGTTCAAGGTTGCCACCTGGGACCCATTTCCTGCTCCACCATCCTCATAGTCACAAGATAGCTGCTGGGCCCCAACAATCACATCTGTACTCCATGAAAAAGGAAAAGGTAAGGGCAAAAGGCAGGAGGAATGGCCACTGAGTCTGTGTCTCTTCATCAGGAAAAAAAACAGCTTTCCCAGAAGCCTCATCTAGTAGAACAACCTAATTAGATCTCACTGACCAGCAAGGAGCTACCCTGCCACCTTGGTGTAAGAGAGTCAACAGGAGGTGTAGTCTCTTCACAGGGCTCAGTGGGAGCCGGGTGGTCGGCACAGTAGAGGGTGTGTTGTAAGGAAGCAGAGAGGAGAGGCATCAGGCAGGCAGCCTGCAGCCGCGGCTAGTCTCTCGTTAGCGTCACTTGTGGTGCCCGCCCTGCGAGTGACCAGGACCCAGCAACGTCCCGGTGTCAGCACCTTCGGACCCATTCGTTATTTCCTCGGCAGCACTGACGCCCGCCCGCCAGGCCGCAAGGCAGGCAGGGCGCTGGGGTGGGGGACCTGCCCAGCCTCTCGCCGCAGCCAGAGTCACCGCCACACATGCAGGTCCGGCCACACTGCGGGCAGAGCGGGTGTTTTTAAACCACTTGTAAGGACAGGCACTGGGGCCTCGGGCCACGCGGGTCCACTGGGGCAGGTCCTCCGATGCGGGTCCCAGGCACCTGCCTCTGAGCCCCTCTGCCCAGCCCTGGCCATGGCCCAGGGTGCAGACAAGTCATTCATTCAACAGCCACTGTGGGAGACTCGGCCCAGCTGGGGAGCCCTAGGGGTGGAGGCTGCTGCCGCAACCTGGCACCATCTCCTCCCTCCTCCTTCCTGAGACAGAACCAAGATTCTGCTCCAAGTAGCCAACTGCTCACCTACCAGATGTCGGGTCCAATTCTTTGCTTCCCAGCCTCCCTACCCCTTATGGCTGGGAGAGCACATGACCTAGTTCTAAACAGTGAGCACTTCTGGAGAGGTTCTGAGAAAGTGTTTGCTCTCCTGATAGCAAAGAAAGGCAGATGGTGCTACTACTCCCTCCTTCTTCCTGCTCTGCACTCAAATGCAACGCCTGGAGCCACGGCAGCCAGTTTGCAAAAATGAGGCAAGACAATGACAAGCTAAAGATGGTAGAACGGTAAGAATAAAGAAGATCAGGCATGTGATGTGCCACTGATCTGCCACTCCAGCCCTTGACCACCTATCTCTTCACTGTTACGGGAGCAAAATTAACCCCCATTTATTTAAGATTCTCTTAATTGGATTTTATCCTGTTGGCCAAGACCATTCTGAGACGATCTGAATGGTAACCAGAGTGACAGCTGCTGCCCTCAGGAACCTTGGAGTTTTAAGTGAGAGAGGACTGACCAGATGCTATCAGTCCTCCAAGGTGGACGCAGAGTGTGGCTGAGGGCGCACAGGCTGGTCCTCACTAATCGAGGGCTGGGAGGCGAGGGCTTCTCTGAGGAAGCCGCACCACGTGAAGTCATCAGGAAGAGAGCTCCTCTTTCCCCACCACTGGAGCTCACGGTTTGCCCACCTTCTCAGGTGACGTCAAGACCCCACTCCCTCCTGTGTCCACCAGACCACACGGCTACTCACCTGTCGCCGTCGTCTCCAGGAGCTAGGGGAGGTACCTCCCCCGAGCCCCGGCCCACCACGCACCCATCCCTCTCCCATCTTCGCGGGGTTTTCCCAGAGAAGCTAGTCTGGGTTTTTCTAGAACTCTGCCCGCCACGGAAGAGCAATGCAGGTCACCACCTCCGCGCAGCCTCGGGCCAGGCTGGCCTGAATTATTAACAAAGCAGAGAAAAAGACACCAGCTCAGCAACTGCCCCGCACTAACAACGCACGGCTTAGAGAAGGTTCGACTTCCGCCCAACAAAAACGGCGAACCATGTACTTTAGGTATGCCATGAGCCCGTCATCAAAACCATCAGCGAATTCTCCTGGAAACAAAAGGACAGCGCAAACGCAGCTCCATCCACGCGCTCGCCAGAAGCAGCTCAGGCGGGAACCAGACAGCGGGGAGCCAGGGCCCCGCAAACCAGCTGAACAAACGCGAGAGCCAAGCTCAGCAGCTCCGCCCTTCGAAAGGTTCACGACACCATAGTAGTTGCTGCCCTATTGGGGAAAACTATTTTAAGCCTAATTAGCATGAAAATTTTAGAATGCAAATGCTTTTCATTTAGACATACAGCAAAATGCCACGACATTTCTTCCATCCATTTATCATAAACAAGTTAATTACTGTGTAACAAATCGCTCCTTCTGGAATCGGGATGTTGGGGGCTGCTGGGGAGCTGACTCAGGCAAAGAGAAGGAGCCACCAGCCAGTCGTTAATGGCTTATGGCACAGTTCTAACAAAACGGTGACTGTGCAGCTTCGCTTGTCAAATTAAGGTTAAGCTCTCTCTGTTGGAATAACTCAATTAGAAGTAGTCATTATCCATTTAACTTGACTCCTACCAGAATAACAGAAATATTGTCCCTTTTATTTATTTATTTGTGGCGCACGCGTCTTGAAGGTCGTCTCGTAGTTCGCAAAGTTTTCTACATAAATAGAGAAATTTTTATCTGCCCTGGCTCGAGTGTATGTCAGCATTAGCTTTCGCCTCCTTATGCGTAAACTTATTTCTAAGATATAAAACGTCTCTTTGTTCCTGAGAACAAGGAGAGGGGGGCACACACAGGTGTGGAAGAAGCAATGGGACCCTCGCCCACCCCAGAGAAGGGGAGGGGCAAGGTCCCCAATGCCTGGGAGACAATGCCACTCTCCCCTCAACCAGGGTGGCACTGGGCCTCATCGTGGGCAGGAGCAGGTGCTCAGAATGCGAGTCGCGCATCCACAAACCCCACAAGCTGGACCAGGTTCACCTCGGATGATGAGCTCTTCATCCTCCACTCGCGAAACCACCTGGGCTCACGGGCTAGGCCAACATCCCGCCAGCCATCAGGGCTTCCCACCACCCAGGCCGGCTCAGCCTGGACCCGCACAGCCCACCCGGAGCAAGAGGAGGCGCTTGTGTGAAATCTCACATTTATCACAAAGAGTATGAGAATCTGTCATTCTCTTCTGTAGTCGACAGCATTTGTCGTTACTAAAAGAGAGGCATTTTTTTTTCTTAAATTCCTGAATAAAACTGATACTCCAAGATCTCATCAAGTTTAGCTCCACACCCAGGGAGGCATCAGGACAGGACGCCAGAACTCAGGACGTGCAAACAGCGGTATCACACCAAGTGGCTCCCGTTATGCTCAACAGTACAGGGCAGTGAGTGTGACGCAATCTTCCGGGCCTTCTCTGCAGGCACACAGGGATGCTCAGTAAACCAACCGATCCTGAAAGACGGTCTACCCTTCCTACCTCTAAATGACATACACAGCGCAATCTACAGGGTCTCTCGAAAGCTCCTACCACAGCCGTGCACATGTGTTTCGGTTCTGGTTCATCTCTTTTGGTAATCCGTGGAAGAGTCAATAAGATCACAGCCCTGCTTCCGCAATCCACTCAGATAACAACAAGCAAGCAGGAAAGGTTGGATGCAGTGCAAAATAAAACTCCTGATTCATATAATCAGAAACAAACAAGGAAAGCCAAGAAGCTCTGTCTCCAAGGGAGAGGATCTGAAAAGCCACCTCGTTCTGTGTTCACACACACAAAGGAAGTGCTGTCAGTTCTTGGGGGGAAATTCTCTATTCCCTGAAACACAAAACTGGGGAGAAAGGCAGCAGTCGGAGGATTATTTAGTTGTGAATGCTGAAACCCAGCTTTGCCGGTTTATCTAAAGTTCGCTCCCCCCATTGCTTTGAAATGAGCTACAAGCTGCCACTCTGGGACGGCGATGCCGGGAGCGAAGGCATCAGCAAGGTGCTGGTGGTTTGACTTTGAAACCTCAGGGAAGGAAGAACTGATTCATTTCCCCTCCCATGCAAATATAAAGTTTAATTAGTTTGTCTTGAAAGGGAAAACAGATCAATGTGCAGAATGATCTATTGTCATTTGAGTTTTGAAGCCGTCTCTGACTTCCCCGTCACAAATGTGGATATAATACTGCAGTTACGATAAGGCTAATTGGTCGTTCCCTCCTGCATGTGTGTTTTCGTGTTGTCAGTGGGGCAGTAATGAAAATGAATGCCGCATTTGTGAACAGAACGTCTGTGGGCTTATTTACTGCATTTCCAACAACATCGTCTGCCTTAGCATGCATTTCAAAGCAGGGATAATTTAAGAATCCAGAATTTCATACATAAAAATACTTAGTAAGAAAGTCTCTCTCTGCTCATTATTTGGGTGACTTTACATCCGAACTCCAATTTCTTGCCCAGGAAATGATTCACCTCCCTCAAAAACGACAGGGACTCTGCATCATCCGCCTGTGACGCCAAATGCCCTTTAGGTTGACCAGTCTGCACCTCAGTGACCTCACAACCACCATTTTGCAAAGAGCCTGGTTCAAAGAGCTCAGCCTTGCCTCTTCCACCGACATGTTCCCCAATGCTGAGCGACGCTGCGATCCATTTCCGCCCTCCACCCCACCTTACCTTTGAGGAGCTTCTCTCCTTCCAGAATGTTTTGGGAGATTAATGCCGTGTAATCTTCTTCAGAGAATCCAGCCTTGCAGGTCTCCCTGGCTGTAAGATCCCCATTATGGGCCTGAGAAGGAAAGAAGAGAGAATAGGCATAGTCTGTGGAAATTCAACCCCACCCACGTTTATCAGGGGCCTGAGTGGCAAGGTCTGGGGCTATGACAGGAATGCCACAAACCACAGCCTCCACGCAGGGGTAACGTGGTGTCTGCTTCTGTGGCCTTAATGAACATTAGCCTGGGGATAGGGGCGTGTGTTGTGGGGGGAGGGCTGCGCTTGCCAGGGCCTCAGCGGCACTTGACGAGGGGAACGCCTGAGGAGCAGTAGGCGGGAGAGAAAGGAGTTAGCCAAGGAAGCCGCCGGGTGGGGAGGTCATCACTCCAGTAGAGACCTTTCACCCTGAGGGCCCAATGGGGGGCGCTGGGAGCGGTGGACTGGCGGGCTGCCTCCTCCCTGTGGCCACCAGGGAGGGAGGAGGGGGGCAGGGCCAGAAAGGAGATTCTTCAAGACCGGGCTGAGAGCCTGCCTCTGAGGAAGGCTGCAAGAACGCAGGGTGACGAGGAGGGGGGCGGGTTCACCCCTTCATCCTCTCCCCCCATTTCATTCCCTGGACATTTGTCCACCTTTGGAGCCCCCCTCTCCAGCCCATCCTGGCGAGAGAGCTTCCCTAACTGAGCGGAAAGGGTGGGTGTCCTGGCCTCGGAGCGCTCTCTGCTTTCCCGCCCAGTGGGAGATCCAGAGCCCACGGCACGAGGAGCAGGGCGAGGCTGGGGGTGGGCGGTGGGCGGTGGGCGGTGGGCCCCTCCCAGGCTGCAGGGAGCAGCAGCCACAGGTCAGCCGCGCTGCGCTCGGCGTGGGGAATGGAGGACAGACAGTGTGTGCCACGGGGACGCCAGCCCCGCGACGGGAGAAGGAGCGCAGCGATGCCCGCTCTCTGGCGAGCACGGGGCAGGGGCGCAGCCCGCGCCCCACAGTGGCGCCTTTGCCGGGGCTGCCGGAGCGGAACGCGCCTCCTCACCGCCGGCCACCGCCTCCAGCCCCGCCCGCCGCCGCCGCCCGCCCGGGGCTCTAGAGGCCGCCGGAGCCCGACCTCCCGGCTCCGGACGCGGGCGCCCCGCATCCGAAAGCATCCAAGGAAGCAGAGCGGGGCGCGGGGTCAGTGCTCGGGAGAAGCTGCAAACCACGGCGCCCAGGAAAGTTTCCACCCGCCGTGGTGTGTGTGGAGCGCACCCCGACGGCCACAGCCTCCGAGCAGGTCTCGGCGGCGGGCACTCGTTTGTTTCCGAGGTACAACAGCACGGCCCGGGAGGAGCAGCAAGGCCGATCGGCCACGAGAGGGGGTTCCTGCAACTCCCGCGGCCTCGCCGCCTCCCCCCAGGGGCGCCACCCGGCGCAGCCCGCACGCTGCCCCCGCGGCCCTGTACCCAGCAGCGCAGAGCAGGGCGGGCGACTGCGCTCCGGGTTCCGCAGGAAGAAGGCGGCCGCCTGGATCGCGCTCCCGGGGCACCTCGCTCTGCGCCCGCTCGGCGCCCGGCTCCCCGGCCCCGTTCCGAGCAGCCGGGGCCCCGCCGGACACGGGATCCAGCCCGCGCCGCGGAGAGTCCGTAGCGAGGATGCCCCGCGGTCCACATCGGCCGCCCACCCGACTGCCGGCACCCACAGGACAGAGGCGGCGCCGCGCCGGGAGCCCCCAGCCGCCGGGCAGGGGCTGCCAGACCCGGTACTCCGAGCACCCTGATGCCCGGTCCGCTGCCGCCAGGCTCCCTTCGCCTGCAGCTCTCGCCGGGGCTGGGCTTGCCAACTCCGGAGACGCGCGGCTCCCGGGCGATGGAGGGCGCGCCGGCTCCGCCAGCGGGCAGCCTGCCCGGGCGCGGGCGAGCCGAGCTCCGGGCAGCGGCCGCGGACCTGGGCGGCCGAGGGATGGTCGGCGGGTCCGGCTTCGGGCAGAGCTCCCTGGGTCCCCCACCCACCCACACTCCCATCCGGCTCCGCACCGCCGTTCCCTGCTGCCCCGGCGGCTCCCCGCTCCAGCCGACCGCAGGCGGCTTCGCGGAGCGCGGGAGCCGGCTGGATGCAGCGGTGCGCGTGGCAGGGCGCCCAGCGCGGGCCGGGGAAGCCCGGGAGAGCCCCGCCGGGCGAGTGCGCGCCCCGCCGGCTCCGGAGGCGGCCCCGCGCTGCCCGGGGCTTCCGAGCGGCAGGGGCAGGAGGCGGCAACTTACCCGGAGCGCGCCGGAGAGCCAGAGCAGGACGAGAAGCACGCCCGAGCCCGCGGTCATCTTCCCCGCCACGCCGCGCCCGGCTCCCGCCCGGTGCCCGGCGCCCGGATCGCCGCCTCCGATCCCGCCGCTCCGATCGCCGCCGCCGCCGCCGCCGCCGCTGCCGCTCGAGCGGGCCCGCGCCTCCAGCCCGGCTGCGCCGCCGCGATCGCCGCCGGGCTCCGGGAGCGAGGCCAAGTCGGCCGGCGCGCGCTCCCCCGGGCCGGTGCGTCCCCGGCCTCGCAGCCGCCCGCGCCTCTGTTCCGCGCGCTCGGAACTGCAGGTGAAGCCGCGCGGCCGCCCCGCCGACGCCCCGCCCGCCGCCCGGCCCTGCGCTCGCTCGGCCTGACGCGGGCCTTAAAGGCGCCGCGCCCCCCGCGCCGCGCCGCGCCCCCCGCGCGCCCGCTCCGCCGCGCCGCCCCGCCCCGCTGGGCCCGGCGTGGGCAGGGCGTCCAGAGCGGGTGTCTGCCGGAGGGGCGGCGGACCCTCGGTCCACAGGGAAAAGGAGGGGACTGTGAAGACTGGAGAAGGCACGAGGGTCCCCGCCCCCCAACCCTGAGCACCCTTTCTGGATGCGGAGCCCCTGCTGCCGTAGTCCCAATTCCTGCTTGGCCCACGGTGGGAGTGGGCGCTCCTCTTCCGCCGGTTGTTTCCCTTGTCTTCTCACTACCTCCCTCCACCCGGGCCCCCCTCAGGCCTTGCGCCCGAATTTGGACCTAGAGACAGGATCCGAGAGGAACAGGCTGTGTTTCAGCTGGCGGGCTGTGCAGACCCGCCAGCGCGTCGGAAAGCTCCAAGTCTGGGCCCTGGCTCCTGAGCACCCTTCAGGGTCTGGACGGGACTCATGCCTGTTTGTGCATCAGAACACTGTTAGGCCTGAGAAGCCAAGAAAGAAGTAGAGGCCCCAGGAAGGGAAAGGAGGAAACTCCCGGCAGAGGAGCTGTCAGGAAAGTCAGCGCAGCAGGCCTGGCTCCACGGGCTCCGCTTGGGTGATTTCTGAGCTGGGGGACCCTTCTTTAAGGGATCATCAGGTGAAAAACACGTACAGCTTGGAAAGTGAGTAAATGTTTCTGCATGTTTCCTTTTGGCTTGGAGATTTGAAGAAAAATGGTTTTATTTGCTCAGATATTTCAAGTTTTCCTGGTCTTGGTTTGGAGGAGCTCTCTGTCCAGAATACGTTAGTTCTGGTTTAAGGGTACGCTGCAAAGGAGGGGGAGCAAAATGGAGTGAAGCTTTAGCTCCAAGGTCAGAGTCAACCTGGGCAGGAGAGCAGAAGTGCTGCCGACCAACCCCTACTCGTCCCCCGGGAACCTCACACCTGAGCAGGGCAGTCTGCTGGTTAGCGCGATGCGTTAGACTTCAGATTTTAGATTAGTCTAGAGAGGCAGGTTAGGTGCTATATCCAAGAGCAGGAGGCCATCTGCAGTTTCTCACCTTTTAACTGTGTGACCAGCCAGTGGAATAGCCACCTGTACCGGCCTGCCCGGCCCCACCTGGTGGGAGAGAAACAGGAGACCGATTTACCTGGCCAAGTGTGCCAGGCTTGTCATTCTGTTCAGATGCCCACAGGGGGCTTGCGTAGCCGGTGAGGTTTCATGTACAAACCCATCTGGAATCCACAGGGTGGGGAACTCCATTCCTCGGCCATGTGCTCACCCTCTGAAGGACCCCGTCTGCTTCCCTTACTCAAGGCACTTCCTCGCCCCGAGAGGGCTCACACAGGCCAGCCAAGGCTGCTCACTGTTGTCCTGAAATGTCCATCCACCCATCACTGGGACCTGCCTTTGTCCTCAGAAGGCCCCAGCATGATGCGAATCATTTCTTAGGATGGGCATCCCAGGTGCTCTGTGAAACGGTGGGAGTGCAAGCGGGCATGCCCATGTGAAAACAAGATCGTGTCGGGTGGGTCCTGAGGCCCAGGCACTGGAGGAGACACATCTCCCTGTGTCCTGCCACTGAATGTCCCATGTCTGGACAGCCCTGAAGTGCGCTGTGACCTCCAACAGGGTATGTACCTCCCGGCAGTAACCAGTCTTGAGTCGGACCCTGACGTGGGAGCTCTGTGTCGGCTAACTCAGAATCATCCTCACTCCGTCGGTGGTTCAGTTTTCACGCCCCTACAGGGAGTGGGGGGGAGTGGTGTGCAGGGTCAGGCACAGGTGGGAGCTGTGGCACAGCATTCCGCCCAGGCCCTGCGCCCCCACCTGTGTAGCATTCCCCGAACTTGTCTGACGGAGGAAGCCCTTTACGCAGCACACAGCGTCTTACAGGAACTCCCGTTTTCAGGAAGATGGTTTCAGCAGCGCTGCAGTGACTGATGCGAGCCCAGCAGAGAGCATTGGTTTATCAGACTTGCTGTGAATGGAGCGGTGAGCATACATTGAGAGGAGGGGAAAATGTGATCTAAAACACAAGGCAGTAGATTTCAAAGGATAGTCTGCAGCCTTGTCACTCGGAGTGTGGTCCCCAGACCAGCAGCATCGACACCCCTAAGGAGCTTGTTAAAAATGCAGAGCCTCAGAGCACACCCCACGCCTACCTTACGTGCGGGCACCTGCATCTTGACCGACTCCCCCTTCGCTCCACCTCTGTCCTCGGGGCATCTGCCTCAGAATCCTAGGGAGGCTCCTGAACTATGCAGAGTCCTGGTTTCTGCCTGAGGCCTGCTGACGTGGAGCTTGGAGAATGGGGCCTGGGACCTGGCCTTGTAACAATGTCTTGGGGTGACGTTCACGCACACTAGCGTTTGAGAACCACTGGCCTGTCCCACAGGCAACAAGCAGCTCCCGGGAGCCTCCTAAAAATGCTACTTCCTGGGCCGCCCCTGGATCTACTGAGTCTGGGCGTCTAGGGGCCGAGCCTGGGAATCAGCACGAGGATGATGGTGAAACGGACACAGCTGCCCTGAGGCGGGACTCCAGCCAGCTCTGCTCTGCCCAGCATCCTGGGGCTATGCCCACTGGGAGGAGGAGCTGTGATCTCCGCCCCTGGATCAAGAGCCCTAGAGAAAAGTGTGCTTTTGTTTCTAGGAGAGATTAAGAAAATGCATTTGGGAGGGTAGCCTATGAGTGGCTGTTTGCTCTCGACACCTGTAAACTGTTGACTGTAATTGGACCACAGATGTTCCCTGAGCCTGATAGCTTTCTCTCCTCCGGCCGTGGAGGGGAGTCTGGGGAGGGGTTCTTCTCTAGTAGGAAATTGAATGATTGTATTGGGGCTGCATTTCCTTGCCTTCCTCTGATTTAATCTGTTTTTCTCCATTTATCATTATTATTTTCGACACTTCAGTGTTAGACAAAAAGCTGTTTTGTAAAGAAAGCAGGGGGATGTTAGCAAAAGGTGTGTTCATAGAATCAAACAGAATCTTTGTGGGCAAATGAAGGTATTCAAAGTCCTGCAGAAATGGATGAAATCCTCCTGCCCTCCAGCTCAAGGAGACCTCCCAGCGTGGAACAGAGAAGAGCAATCTCACAGGAGAAAGCAGGAGAGAGGTAAGACAGGCTGGCACAGGTCGCTCTGTGCTCAGGTCCAGCGATGCTCACCCACAAAGCGGATGGACCCTGGGGAGCAAGAGGAGAGTGGCGTTAGTGCCACTGTCTTCGTTTTCACCAGCATCAGCTTTGTCTTTAACATCTATTGATATCTGGTGTGTGCCAGGCGCTGTGTGGAAGGTCTGCGAGTCATCATCTCCCATAATCCTCACACACAAAAGAGGTGATGTCTGCACGTTCCACAGACAGAAAACGGACCTGGAGATGTGGAACAGCCTGCCCGGGGCATGAGCTGGTGTGTGGCCAGGCACTCGGCGGTGTGACCCACGGCCTGGGCTCTGCTAGTGAGGGAAGCCGTGTCCTGGCAGCAGCGGTGGGGAGGGACCTCTCAGGGGCCGGGGGTTCCATTCTGTGCTGGTGCCTGCTCATGTGTTTCCTGTCTGCCCTTAGGAAGCGGGGCTGCAGTGGTGGGAGTGGGGAGACGTGTCACAGGATGCCAGTAACAGAGCCTCATTCACGACCTTGCGTGGTGTCTGACTTGTCATTTGCTGGTTTTTAGAAGCAGCTTGACAAGAGGAGAAAAGGAGGTCAGGGTGACCTCGGCTGACGTGGGCAGACTAGTGCACGTCAGGGAGCACACACAGTGCACCGTTACCCCCTCATCCCCTGGACGGCGAGGACCCCTGACTCCCAGGAGCACAGCACTGCCCACACCCCTGCTCCCTGGGTCCTCCTAATGTGGGATGGAGCTCTGCCCATCCATGTCTGGGATGCCCCGTATCCCGGTGCCATCAGGATGGGAGCAGAGAATTGATTATTTTCCTTTTACTTTCTTTTTTCTTGTTGTTCTCCCCCCAAAGCATCTCTCAAGTCCATCCCCTCCCCTCCAGCTACCCATCGGAGCCCCATCATCTCTCACCTGGATCCCTGCGCAGCCTCACTCCTCTCCCTGCAAACCCGGCCCCACGGGGACCACTGAAACTTGCATCAGAGAACATCACGTGATGCCCTGCTTCAAGCCCTCAGGCTGGACCCTCTCGGAACCTCGATGCTCTCTCCATGGCCCACAGGTCCTGTGCCATCTGGCCCCTCCGCCCCCTCCCCCTCGCTCTGCCCTTGCTATCTGGAGCATTCTGCCCCAGGTCTAGGCAAGGCCGACTGCTGCTCAGAGATGCCCTGCAGGGCCCCCAGCAAGGCTGCTCGCCCACCTCTCCTCAGCCAGGACCTTTCACACCTATCACATCCCTCTGGTTCTGTCTGTCTGATGTCTGCAGTGCAGCAGGGGCCTCTCTGCCCGGCCCCCTGCCCTCTCCCCAGCTCCCGGATGGTGCCGGCCCAGGCTCAGCAAACATCTGAATAAATGAATGTCTGAGTGGATGACTGGGAAAGCTGGGAGAGAAGGTGCAGTCTCCTGGGACTTAACCTTGGGGGAGTGGGGAGGGGTCCGTGATGCCACGCTGCCTGAACTCCTGCCCCACGCCTGGGAAGAAGGAATACCGGTGGTTTTTCTTCTTTCTTCTGTGAACTCCGGGGCAGAATGAGAGCCAGGGCCGGGGGGAGGGTGGTTCAGCTGAATG